ACGTTGTTGCATGTCCTCTGCAATACCTATACAGCCCAACGTGCTTAGAATTAAGCTTGCGTGCGAGAACAGATTTTGCGTGTGCGAGAATCAGCCGTTCGCGAGAACGTGAGAATCCGCCCCAGGGCCATGGAATTCGAGCTAGTGCATCCGAAAATCCGGCATCTTGTTTCAATGCATCTGCACATGCCGTTGCCGGGAACAAACCTGAAAAAAACTGACCGGGGATGAACACAAATAGCTCGTGTATGACACCTGCTTTTGTCAGGGTCACCTGCATTCGTTATGCATGCCACCTGCATGCCTGCACCCGCCGCTGTGGGGCTACCTCGTTTGAGCCGCTTAAAAAAAAATCAAAAAAAAGTTAGGGTGTTGAGGTTTGGGGTTTGGTTTAAAGTTTGGGGAAATATAGCTGGAATCGTACTTGAAGTTTCCTGACTTGGCTTTGTGTTTCGGTGTCGCGGACAGTGAGATTTCAGTTTGGGTTTGGAGCTTCGGGGTATATAGTGAGATTTCAGATGTGGAAGGAAGTATATATAGCTCAGTCCTACAACGTATATCTTAAGAACCATAAACGAATACAGAACATGCATAGACAGATATGTTGGGTCTGGAGATCCTCGAGCTAAGGGTTTATAAAAGTTTAGTGTTTCGGGTTAAGGCTTAGGGTTTAGGGCGATGAGGGTTTGGGGCTTATTGGGTTAAGGCTTCGGGTTCAAGGAAATTAAGATTTGGGGCTTAGGGTTATAGGGCTTATTTAGGGTTTAGGGTTTAGGGTTTAGGGTTTAGGGGTTTAGGGTTTAGGGTTTAGGGTTTAGGGTTGAGGGCTCAGGGCTTAAGGCTTAAGGTTCAGGGTTCAGGGCTTAAGGCTTCGGGTCAGCTATCTTTCCAAGGTGTGCAACATACTGCAATCGGGTTCTTGTAGCTGTACACCAGGAACTTTACAAATTTGGAGTCGTATGAGGCTTGGGAGTGTCGAAGTGTCATTGTGTTCGATTGTGGAGATCGGGTCGGCTTGCCTTTTCGGGTTTCGGGTTCTGAGGTTGGCGGTGAGAAATCCGACGAAGCCCCAGTTAATCCCAGTATCCATTTAAGACAAACCCAAACGTCATTTGCCTGAAACTTCTAACCGTTAAGGCCGACTCAATTCTTGGGCAACCCTCCGAAAAGCAAAACCCCAAGCACTAAGCCCAAAGCCCGCAAAACTTCAAGTAAGGTGTAGGGCCTACGGTCCGAGGTGTCCCTCGACAAAACTCAGTTTAGAAAGCTCTATATAATACAATATAAATATAAATATAAATATAAATATAAATATAAATATAAATATAAATATAAATATAAATATAAATATAAATATACATATATACATATAAATATACATATATATATATAGGATACATGGATTATAAGGGCCAGAGTCCTGGTGATGCCGAAATGCCTTGCGCGGCCTTTCAAACCCTGTAATACTATATGTTAAAAACAAATCCAAAGCCTATAGTACCAATTCCCGGTTGCCTTGGCCTTAAACCCTAGCCTAAAGAGCTGGTCGTGGAGTTTTTCCAAGACCTCGTGCTCGGCATCGGCCGGGCTCCCAGCCCGATCCACAGACTACCCCCGGAAGGCTTCCTAGGTCTTAGGGTTGGGGTTCAGGGTCTTTTGTCATAAACTTCAAGGGCGTACTATCACAAACACAGCCTTTCAAAGGTAGCCGTGAGGGTTCTTGGCCTGCTTGTGAGGCCCCAAACCTCCGCACTCCAACAGGGCCCGATAACGAAGTAATGTTACGGATCCCATTGTTCGCGCATGCGTTCGCGATGCTACGCGGCCAATTTCTTTCATGAAGTCTTCCTCCATGTAGAGGTGATCGTATCTCGGGTTTCGCAGCTCCAAAGGTAAGCGCAAACACACGTGCAAAAGCACGTGGAATTTGGGGACCAGTTTGTAAATATGACGTTGGGCTCGTTGGGCTTGTACTGCTAGCAGCTGGTACAAAAGCAAAAACCTTCGCCCACTCAAAGCCATCTCTCCTGCTTTTGGCGGTGTCAACCAAGGCCCATTGGAGTCCTGCACGTAGTGGAATTGCACCAGGGCATAGGCCACGTCGGCCCTCAAGACCGAATCTGGTTGATCATCACGCATGTGTTCAAAAAGAAACGATGCAATCCAATAAAGCATCGCCTTTATCACAGCTCCCTTGTAACAGGATGCCATTTCTGGATAGCGTTGCCAGCTCTCCCGTCCAATGCGAATCAAGGAAAACTGCATGCTGCAGCTTGGTAACTTCCGATCTCGCATCCATTTCTTGTAGTGGGGCCAAGCATCGTTCTGCAACAAATGGTCCAGCTGCTTCAATGTAAGCTTGTAGTCGTGCAGCTCCTCGTAGTGGTCGGACAGCAAGGATCCGATCAGGATAGGACCAATTCCCTGATGCACCAAATGCAGCATATCCTTGGTTGGCCGATTTGTGTGTGGCATCCTTTCGTAGGCAAATTTGCTTCCCCATTTTTTCGCCCACTTATGTAGTTGAAGCCATAGGGAATTTGAGCCAACTTAACGTTTCAAAAACCAAAACACACAAAAGTGCGAAAATCCACGTGCATGGCACTTCCAGGTTTCTGTCTTTTGTCCACCCGGGCACAGCAGTCCAAGTTGACTGCCGGCCTGGTGGGTTCAGCTCCAGGAACTCATCGTGACTCAGCATATACTGCATATATGCAGCTCCATCAGTGAAATCTCCATAGCTTAGCTGAGGCAATTTCGAAGCAAGGCAATGTTCGCAAATGCTGTTGCTGTTCCAATACCTCACCAGTTTGTGGACCAAAACCCGAGCTTCGAGGTCTGCTTTGAAAGCTGCAAAGTATGCACACCAACCTCCAGCAAATGGTTTTCCAGCCCTAGCAGCTTCCACACTATTCATTGGCCATGGAGACCCATTCCACTGAGTATCAGGATACAGACCTGTCATGAGCACCTGCTGCACGTATGCAATCAAGTTCCCGACATCGTCGTGGGTTGCAGGTTTGGCCATTTGCTGCTCGCGGAAAAGGAGAAACAGCATTTTCGTGTCGATCGAAGCTCCTTTGCGAGTGCAACATCCAAAACTATACACCCATGCTTTCTGCGACCGATACACTTTTACACCGTCCACATGCCAGGACAAAGGAATGCAGCGCGGCCAATCTTCTTTCCGCAATCCAAGCTTTTGGTAGAATTCCAGGTGCTGCACATTTTTCCAGTATTCCTTGACTACATTATACAAGAAATCGTAAAAAAATGTTTTACATGTCTTAAAACAGCAAGCAAAACTTCACAAGTTCTAGCAGCTCGACCCAAGTGGCAGTCACATGGAAGGATGCTCGTTCTGGTGGGTCATAGATCCATGTTTCCAGCTTGTTTGAACTGTAGAGGTAGTTCAGGACGTCCCAGGGCCAAAGCACAGCATGATCCATTTGTCGCTGACCTTCATCATCCTTCAAAGTCAACTGTATTTGGCCAGGCTGAATTCGGCAACGCTTTTGGCACCACCTTGGATGAAATCTCGAGGGCTAATAATAAACATGGGTACCGACCTATGCCCCAAAAAAAAACTGCTGCAACGCGGCACCTTTGAAAGGCTCTTTCACCATGACCACTCCGACCCCACATAGCCATAAGTTCCGCAAGAGGGCAGCTGGATCCATCAAGCATCAAGGCTGCCGCATCCCGGCAACCATCTGCCACCGAAAGCGCCTGAAGCGGAACATGCGAACAATGATCGGCCCAGGCTACATCTTAACTTATGAACTGAAGCTGAAAGCAGTACTTCAATTTTCGAATCAAAATGCCCCAGAGCAGATCTTCAGGAAAATCCGCAGTGAAGCGGCATTCGCATTTTCCACTGCCCACATTCCTGGAAGCCGGTGTGAGTAAAAGTTTGTCCGGGGTGAATCACAACTTCATATGCTATGCACGTGTTGACTCACGCACACAGACAACTCTTGTATGCAGCATCCGACCATGCATGCATGCAATGCTCCTTCGCCACCACGGGATGAGAAGCGTGATCTCGAGCGCGATCGTCGCAGCGTGCCTGTTCGCCGCGGTGTTGTGGTAAATGGTAAATCGGTGTCGTTCTTGCGCGGCTTGTTTGCATAACACAGGAACCGAGTAGGCCAAGAGCGAAAGGCTTTTGGAGGGTATGCAGGGTTTCATACTGCTTTTCAAATCCTTGGGTGATAGCGGGCCTTGTCTATCTGTAGATGGCGATCTTCCCAATAGAGCTCCCTCTCTGGATCTTGACCGTCGCTGCAAACCTGGGGTGTCCAAGGCTTTTGGTCATTTACACTAGATCGTACATGCCTTGAGCTTCTTGAGCTTAAGCCGGGGCTTGAGTTTGAGTTTCAGGATTTAAACAGTAGGTCTTGGGAACCATAGTTTTAGATTGGGGCTTTAGCATGCCCGGAACAGTTCGCCGCGTCGATCGCAGGGTTAATTAATAAGGGGGATTTAAGATTTGAGGGATTTACGGCTTTCGGTTTGGGATTATTTGTAGACTGCGGCGCTGAGACTTGATCAATGCCGTCCACACAACTAGATTCAATAGAGCATAGTTTGCTCGACAATCGAAGAAAGTAGTATATAGAAGACACAGAACCATGTATGGCATAGTGTGACGTGTGAGTCGCCGGTATATGATCGAGCATCGTCGAGTTCCACCTTCATCGTACCATCATCTCATACCATCATCTTCGACATCATTATACCATCATCTTCATCATCATCATCAATATCATCACATACAGATATTACCGCGCAGCCATCATCATCATCATCATCGTCGTCACCTTCAGCATATATACACACAGATATTATGTGCATATATATATATATATATGTGCATACATGCATACAGACACACACACACACACATATATATATATATATATATATATAGATATAGATATAGATATATACACTCATTACAGACGCATATACATATCCAAAGCCTACAGCCCGAAACCCTAAAGCCTCCTGACCCTAAAGCTCCCAATATGTTGTAAACGACTGAACCCTAGCGGACCCTAAGTTGCGTACAGTTGCTCTGTTATGTAGCAGTCAGACTCTGAAGCCCCAGGCCCGAAGGCCAGGCATACTGCTGATGGACAAAACCCTGCATTGCCTATTAAAGGTATATATATATATATATATATATATATAGTTCCCATAGTCTAGACTCCTTAGGGTATATCTTAGCATGCAGGATTTTGTCCATCAGCAGTATGCCACAGTAATTCCTTGTATGTTAACCCTGCGACAAGGAGCTTAGAGCTCAAATCGAAAACCCGGCCTGTAGACCCTTTTGGGGTGGCTATAGGATAGCTAGGGGCTTTAGGGTTTGGGTTCTGGGGTTATGCAGTTTGGTAGACTCGATTTGGGGCCGAGGCGGCCGCTATGGTCCAGGGCATCTGCGCTGGCGTGGCCAGCACGGGACCGAGAGCGTGATCTGGACCTGACGGAGGGGATTGATTACAAGTGCCATGCAGCAGATGTAGAGCTCGGTTCTGCATACACATCACGCAAGCATTTGTCCTCAGAAGCGAAGCGGACAAGCAAAAGGTCACACAGACCTAAAGCAGCTGAATCCAGGATGTAAGCACCGCAGATTGCACCCCCTTGGCACTGTGCCAGGGCACAATTGACACATTCCCTTGTGCAACCGGGGTGCACTAAAGCCTTTCATCGAACTGCTATGTCTGCATGTTCTGATTGAGAAAACCATCATGCTTGGGGATCGGCACATGAGGTCGTGGGAGCTCAGATCGGTCTTGACTTCAAAGCACCCTAGGACCCTAGAGCCTAATTAAGTAAGTCTTCAAAATCCCAAGCTTTCACATCGATGCCAGCAACCTCAATTGCCCGACTTATCCCCAGGCGATGCTGCAGCATTGCCGGATGCAGTGGCCTTTGCCTTCGCCTTTGGCTCAGGCTTGTTTTTGGCTCGGTGAAGGGCCTTCGCTAAGCTGATCTGCTCGGCCGCCACTTTGCTCAGGGCATCAGCCTTCAGGGATTCAGGGTTGGAACCACAGGACCGAGATTGATTAAGGGTCTGTACGGTTCAATGGTTTAATTAGGATTTGAGTGTTCTTTAGGGTTATAGGAATCTTTAGGGCTTTACCATGTTGTCTCAATCGCCCACCTCCTTGCACACATCGTGATAATACTTGTTCTTGTTCTTCTTCTTGTTCGTGAGAACTTGGATTTTGCTTGCCACGTCTGTGAGCGCTTTGCTCAGAGCCTCGAGCTGCTCGATGAGCTTCGAACTCATCTTGATGGGGCGTAGTTTGAAGGCCCACATCCTTAAGATTGAGGCTCAAGGGGTCATTTGTTCACTTGTCTGGGATATAAGTGCATGCATGGCAGCACGTACTACAACTGAGATTCACGCGTGCAGTCGCTGCTGTCTTTCAGGGTTTTCTGAAGGCGGGCTTCGGCTTTTTGCAACGGCGTTTTGGGCTCCACCTCAATCTTCAATAGCAGATCCGTGCTGTGACAAGCAAGCCTAGCAAAGCAATCCAATAACGAACACAATAAGTACTGCCCCACCTTTGTCGGCTCGGTCTCCTCACCATTGCCTTCCCCTTTCTTATTCTTGGGAGTCTTTGGCGGCTTGCCGTTGGGTGTGTTCCCCAACGCTTTAACCATTAGCTGGCTCCCATTCAAAGGAGCCCCGGTTCCGAAATCCATCAGCTTCAGGCCCATCTTCGGGTCGAGCATGCCGCCGCCCTGCTGGACATTGACGACAAGCCGCTACGGGTTAAGTTCAGGGATCGCTTAAGTGATTGGGCGGCTAAGGTGGATGATATAAATCCTGCGACTATTATATGGTAATCATATATATATATATATATATGTGTATATATATATATACCATATATATATATATATATACATATATAGCTATGGGTTATGCAGGATTTATATCATCAACCGTATGTGTGGGGTTTCGGGGTGTAGGGTTGATAAAAAAGGTTAACTCCTTAACTTTGTGCCTGTGGACGCGAACTTCACAAAAGCTTGGCCCGGCCTGCCCACTAAATTCTAAACTTCAGCGACAACAAGAATTAATGTGAAGTATGCATCGAGCATTCACCCCGAAGCTACAAAGCTAGACACGGTATGCATCCCATGGATGCTACACATGCACCGAACCCTAAACCCTAAAGCCTTAAACCCCCCCCAACCCCCAAAGCCCCTAACCCCAGAACCCCTTCGAACCCAGAATCAAAAACCCAAAACCCCGAAACCCTAGAACCCAAAATCCTACGAAATCCCAAAGCCTGCACCCAAAATCCGAAACCCTCCGAGCTCTAAACCTTGTTGCTTCGTATTCCTCAAAGCACGACACTAGAAACCCTGGAAGCACTAAGATCCTGGTGCCGTAACAATTAAGACATGCCTTGCATCATAAGGCACTAGCTATCTTTGTGCTTCGGGACTTCGAAGCAAATTCGACAACCAACCCTAAACCCCGAAACCCTATACCCGTCCATCAGCTTGAAGCAAAAATCGGAATTACAGTAATAGCCGCCTGCCTGGACGAACTGCTTCAGCCCATCTTTGTCAATGGCACCCGAAAGCTCCAACTTGGCCACCCTGGCCAGCTCCTGCACGTTCGAGAAATCCATTTCGATCATCACAAAGTAGAGCACTTCGCCGCTGTCGGGCGGCAACTCCGGATCCGGAATCGTCCTGAAGTCGGGTTGCGAGCGGGCATCAGGTATAGGGAGGAATGTTCGAAAGTCCCTTGTTTACTGGACTTGGTGTTGTTTCATGCGAATCTTGTGTATGACCTGTATATGTGTATTCATATATACATATATATGTGCATGTATGTGTGTGTGGGCTGGCTTGGTTTCTGTGTAGCTTGTCGGGCACGGTGGCTGGGTAAGGGTGGTTTCGGTTCACCCACACCACCACTACCATATATATATATATATATCTAAATATAGGTATCTATATATATATATATACGCATATACGGACATACATATAGACACAGACTTACATACACACATACATGCATACATACATACCTACCTACATACATACGTACACACAGACACATACACATATACATCCCGAGCCGAGAGTCCCCAAGCAACACCGGCCCCAAGACTTAGCTTTGAAAGACCCTCCCACCTTATTGCATGCAAGTATCAAGCCGAGCGCTTTCTTGCGATCCATCAATTTAGTGGCCTTTCTCTCGCCGTGCCGATCCTGCAGCCACTTCTCGGGCCGGAAGCCCCACTTCACTGTGTTCTGTTGCTTCTCTTCCATCCGCGCTTCGAAGCGCAACAGAACTTCATCGGTATCCCCGTCGCAAGCAAGAAAGTCGGTGAAGAGCTTTGCGCGGCCCTCCTGTATGCAGCATCACGTATTAACGGAGCATGCACACGTGCAATATTACGTT